AAATGATATGAAAAAATAATTTTATTCTGGGATTACAATTGCCCTAAGAATAATAACAGAGTTACAAATTTATGAGTCTTAGTCTGGCTTAGAATAATAAAAAATACAAACTAATTAACTGTTGGTTGTTTTTGCAATTGTGCAGTAGATTGAAATTAAACAGTATACAGATGCAAGTAATTTTACACATGTTTGCGGAAGTTTGAATATGGGGTAGGTGGTGGAACAGGAGTTGTTTGAAGGAATGTGTGGACAAGGATCGACGTATAGAGGTAGGAAGAAAGTTCCAAAAGGAGGTAGCACGAATGATGAAGGATTTGCTGAAGGAAGTAGTTTTATGAGAGGGGATAAATCTATAGGTTGAGACCTGGTATTAAGAGAGTGGATAGAGGAACGTAGAGTAAGGAGTTCCAGGATGTAGGGAGGGTTTTTGGTTCTTAGGACTTGGAAAAGGAAAACACCAAGGTGGAATTGTCGTCGATAAGTAGGATATAGCCATTTTAACTCAGTTTACCAGAATGAAACATGTGATCTTATGAAACAGCTCATGAGTTTCTTCGATCTCATTTCTATCCTGGTAGATAGCCCTTCATACATCAAACAGCCATAGTCCAAGTAGGGGAATATGAGCGAGGTTACAAGGAGCCATCTGTTTTTTAGAGGAATACAATCACGGAATCTTAGGAGTTGTTTAAGGTCATTTATGGATTTTCGTGTAATCTGGGAGATATGGTTATTCCAGGAGAGGTTCTAGTCAAAGGTTACTCCTAGGTTTTTGATTGCAGGGGAAAAAATGAATGGGACGGGTATTGAGGTTAAGTAGAGGAAAGTAAGGAAGGGAGCTAATGAGATGTCTGGACCCGATGAGAATAGACATAATTTTATCTGCATTCAGCTTTAATTCATTTATTTCTGTCCACCTGTTGATGCAGTCAATATCCTCTTGTAGCTTTCGGGCAGCTGTCTGAGATCAATTAGATAAGAAGGAGAGGAACCATTTTAGGACACTATTTGATATGGACAGGCTTGGGAGTTTTGAAAGAAGGATCTCATGATTGACGGAATCAAACGCTTTGGAAAAGTCAAAAAGGATTAGGATGGAGATTTTGTGTTTGTCTACCGTTGGTTGGAGGTCTTGCATAATCCTTAGCAAGGCAGGCTGGGTGGAATAATGGGAACAGAAACCAGATTGTAAAGGATTGAGGAGATGGTTTTGCTCGAGAAAGCTGTTCAACTGACTAAGAGTGGACTAACCGTTCTAGAGGCTTCGATAAAATGGATATGGGTCTGAAGTCGGAAGCTGATGAAGGAATAGGAACTTTATTCAGTGGGCAGACTATTTTTTTCCAGGATTTGGGAAAAATGAAATTTATGAGAGAGAGAAATCATATATTTGTAGAAGTGCGGGAAGTAAGGCTGGAAGGCAGAGTTTGATAACTGTAACAGGTATTTGGTCAGGACCATAATTGTTCGTTTTGGATTTAAGGGTGGCAGAGAGTTTTATGGTACATTTTCACACTATTATCCTTTGTATTTCTAAACCAAAGGACGGATGTGGATGAGAGAAGGTTTATTAAGTCCAAGAGCATTTTCTTGAAATTGGAATGTTCTTTTTCATGAAATTTCCTTTTCTCACTAGCCACTTCACAGTGGACTTTACTTTTGGGACATAGGAGTTATACTGAAACTGAAAGTTTTGAAAATATACAGCAAATTTCATTATAATTAAATTTAAAAGTTTTATCTTGTTGCTAGCCCATTAGCTGTTTGTTCTTAAACATTTAAGAAGTAATATTAAGGACTTTTACTCATTCTTCCTACCATGTTTGACATTAATTATAATTAATATGTTATGCATTGCACAATGGTTGAAAATGTTCTTTTTCCGGAGCTGTCAAGCATGATCTGCGAGCCAAAGCCAATTAATTTTGATATCTTAATTAAATAGGTTTAAAATATATTTACTGTTAATTTTATAACGAAATGATACAAGAGAAGAATCAAGTCAATAATAGATTGCTTCTTGGTTAAAAGGGAAAGAATTAAAGACCAATTAATTAGATTAAAGAGAGGATACAGGATTGGAAGTGGCTATTATTTAGTTAAAATGGAGAAATAGACATTGATCTGAATATGCACAATGAATTAACAGTGAACAGAACCACTTGGAAGCAGCTTTATAGAAAGGAACCCCCTCACACTGCTGACTGGAAGAGAGGGCTGGATTGTGATAAATTATCTAATATTTAAATAATTTAAAATTTCAAAAAAAATATTAAATTAACATACATTTTAGTTTGAATTATTACACTTCCTGTGCCCTCAAAGAGGTTATTAACCAATTCCTGGAGTACATTGTCCAACTTTTCAGTTGTACTGGGAATGGAATTCTGATTTCATCCATGGAGCTTGAACCATAACTTAAACATGCTTTATTGGATTGAGGTATAGACTTTTCAATAGCCACTCCAGGAGTATGATACCAACATCCTGGAGATATTCAACTACACTCAATGCTCTGTAGCTTCAGCAAGCAAATATTTTGATTGTCAGGGCTAAATGGTATATGAAAATATTCCTCTGAGTATTTCATGTACCTTTGAGCATTTAAGGACTTGCATTACTCAACAACTAACTGGGCTTCAGAAGAATACCATCCTAGGGCATGCTTGAGATTGATTCTCTGTGGTAAAATCTGTGAATTTTTAGAGTATTGAGCTTATCGTTCACATAGGTGTCCAAAAATTGAAACACTGCCATCTGATACTCATGACCCGCTCTCACACCACAGTAATAAGAACCCGTTTTCTAGACCTCTAAGCTTTAATGGATGTGTTTTGAGTATATTTAAGTCTGTTTTAGGAGCTCTGGTGAAAAGAGGATCACACAAAGGGTTTATACCACTTACGTTAGCTTCATTAAGTCTTCTCCCCACTCCCCAAATGTAAATCTATACCTTGCCAATTTTACTTACAAAACATCAGATTTGATTTCTGATTACTATATGATTGCTAAGATCTGAATGTGAACTAACATGTCATCCTTATGGCTAGTGGATCTTAGTAGCTTTTGATCTTATCTTCAAAAATGTGAACCTAATGAAGTGTCATAGAATCTAATGATTTGTTATGTAATGAACATGGATCCCCCAAGCACCCATTAACACATATTATAACCTTTCACTAAACATTTAAATACCTATTCATATATATATATATATATATATATATATATGTTTGTGTAAGTAATATTTGTTAAAATCATTAACATACAAAGACAAACATCTTTTTTGTACTCTCTTTACATTACAATTTTTACACCTTTATAAAGACAGCAATAATCATGATAATTAAAACCTTTTTTTTATCCAAAAATGGGAGATTATACAAACTCTGTCACCATCCTCTCATCTCTTACTTCATCTGTAAATTACTTCAGTAGGTGAACCTTTGAATGTGACTCATTTGATATTAATGTCCTACATGCTATTTCACTTTCCAGTATGAAAAGTTTTCTCTTAAAATGTGAAGAAAGTTATTCTTCATTCTCTTACTTTGTGCATTTGACATTAAAAATTACTCTGTTACTGATTCTAGTCAAGTTCTTAGTCATGTTTCTTCAAGTCAACTTGAATTTTAAATAAAAATGATATTATACCACTCGATAGCTAAGGGTATTTGTTACGTATAGTGGGGAACGAAACGTATAATAAGTGGTGGAGGGAAGGAGCACACTGCTATTTTGAGATTATTTCCACGACTTTTATTATTTCCGTATTGTATAGTTTTTAAAATGGTGAAACTAAAACATTTGTCCAAATTTTAAGCCCTTTCAAGATCTATGGTTATAGTCATATTAAATAGGGTTCAAGTTAAAAATGATCAACAACACAATTTGGGGTATCATCAAAAAGCCAAGTGAAAATATTAAAAAAAATTATATGGTTAGATACCAGTGAAAGCTCATATGATCGAATAAAGGGGTATAAAGTACAAAAAGAAACTATACAATTCTAGGAAATACCTATAATTGATTTAACATGAATCTGGATTCCTGCTCCTTGTATTACTCCATAAATAACATATCTCGATTACCAATTCTTGGAACCGAAAGAGCCAATATCCAGAACTGTAAACTCTGAGAAAACGCACAAAAGAAGTAAGGATATACATTCATAGTTAAAAGGGCCAATGTCTTCCAGTTATTAGCTAATTCATAATGGCAGGACAATGGTCCTGTTTGTTGCAAGGTACAGAGTTATAAAATGATTATATATATTTATTTATTTGACCTTTTTTTTTATTATTTTTTGTTCTCACTTCATGATAATATAAGTATATATATATATATATATATAATATATGATATTTTTTTATTTTTTCCTTCATGATAAAACATGTTTCTTTGCTTTTAATTCATTATTTTGAATGACATTTTATGATTCTGATCTGAGTTTTCTGAAATATTTATTTATATTTGGGTGTTCGATTTATGTCTCTACCTAGTCATTTTACATTTCTCTTTAATATTACTTTATTAGAAATAAAACTTTATAAGATCCATTTGTCTCAATTACTATATTTTCAACTCCAATATTTCAGTGTTTAGGTCATTATCAAGGAAATTCTTTAGCTAATATTTTTAGCATACCATTCTTTTTAATAGTCAAATCTCCTTGCAAGATAATGTACCTTAGTCCTTAAACTTTTTATTTTTTTTAAATTAAAAAGTGGATCATTTGAAGTTTGTTTAGAAACTAATGAAATACCTTGTCTCCAACAAAAAGAAAATTAAAATAAAAAACATTTATAAATTGATAAAATTGCCTGTTCAAATCAACAGTATTTAAAAGTTGAGTATTTTATTTATTAATTTAATTATTTTAATGTTTTAGGTTTGAAATAAACCTGAAAAATCAGAATATTTTATAGTACTACATAGAAGGTAATTCAGTGTAATATGTAGTAATGCATGTATATATTTTTTTTTCTCTCTTCCAGATTTATGAAACTCCTGCAAAGAAAACAAAGACAAATAATGAGGTATTATCAATTCAAAATAATAATTGGTTTTATTTTTAACCTTTGTGTATATTTATTTCAGTAAAATCACTTTGTAGCAGTTTGCCTTGAATGCTGTCGAGGCTGTATATTCCGATGGTGAAGAAGATGGTGACTCGCAAGCAGTTCCATGTCCAGTGTGCAACCGGTAAGACCCTGTGGTTTATTAATAATAATTATTATTATTTATTCTGGAACTAATTAAGCTATATAAAATTATTAGTTGTTTACCACTGTATAACGTATATTAAAAAATATATGAGTTCTCAACATTGAGATGGTAAGTACATTTCTAAATGTGTGTATATATATTAAGATGGACGGGGCATGTAGCTCATAGCAATCCATCTGGAAGCCTCTACATAACAATGAATGCCTCAATAAAAGGCAAAATACCACATGGAAGGCCAAAAAGCAGATGGATGGATAGATAGAATCAACAAAGATGCAATAGAGCGGCATGCAGGTAAATGAAAAGAAATAGCTCAAGGCAGGCAGAGATGGATCAGGCTTGTTAAGGCGGCAAAAGATCTATATGGTCTGTAATGCCAACAGAAAAAAAAATAAAAATATGTATATATATATGTGTGTATATATATATATATATATATATATATATATATATATATATATATATATATATATATATATATATAAAATAGGGTGTATAAAAAAAATTACCGTTTTATCAAATTCAATATTTCAAAGGACTGTAAATATTTTAATCCTATTTAATACTTGATAATCCCTTTAGAGCACTCAATAAGCTTGTTTAATCCCATTCAGCTACTTCAAATAAAACCACAGTTTAGTTATTTGTTTCAAAGAAGAAACATGACAGTGTCCTACAAAATTCCTGTAATTTTAAGGCATTACTGGAAAAAAAATTTCACAGCTGCTGAAGCAACTCGTGAAATTATTAAATATGAAGGGGAAGGTGTCCTTGACCAGCCCACTGCACAGCATTGGTTTGAAAAATTTAGCAGTGGAGATAGGACGTTGGAAAGGAAGAAAGGCTCCGGGCGGCCATTAATGGATATTGATGAGGTTCTGCAGGAAGCTGTTGAGTCAAATCCGTCCACAAGTACTCACGAACTTGTCAGGGAGTGTGGTGTGTTGAAAGATAATGTTAGTCGCCATCTACTCTCCATGGAGCAAGTGAAAAAGAGCAGTAGACTGGTCCCTTACGAACTTACTCCTCAGCAATCAACTAACGGGTTAGAACTTTGTAAAAATTTATTGTAAGATCTTTCTGATATGAGATTTTACTGGAATATTGTCACCTGTAATGAAATGTGGGTTTACTGGCGAAATCTGAATACCCGTGAGCAGTGGTTAGATCCTGGTCAAACTGCTTTTCCGGTTGCTGTAAGGAGGCAATTTGAACAACTGGAAAGATTGTACACGAAGTTGTCAGAGCATTATCCTGCTTTGATCAACCAAAAAGGGATTTTATTCCAACAAGATAATGCTCGTCCTCAAACTTCCCGTCAAACCAAAGAAAATTTTAAATAACTTCTTGAATTGAACTCCTGCTTCATCCATCATATAGTCCAGACCTTCAAGGGAAAAATTTTTATAGTTTTGCAGAAGTTGAAATTTTGGTCCAAGAGTTCTTTGAGAGCCATCCCAAAGAATGGGATCCAGCAGATGGCTAATGATTATAGATAGCAATGGACTATACTTTGAGTATTAATTGTATTTTTTTATCAGGTTGAAAAACGGTCTTTTTTTTATACACCCTATTATATATATATATATATATATATATATATATATATATATATATATATATATATATATATATATATATATATATATATAGAAGGAAAAATGCCGAACTCGGTTGCCTTTATAAGGACATGGTGAAGTTTATCAAGATAGGACAACTTCAATGGGCCAGGCACGTCGCACGTATGGATGACTTGGCGATACCCAGGAAAATGCTGTCCAGAAAGATGCATGGACGAAGAAAGGTTGGCAGGCCAAATGTAAGATGGGAGTACTCAGTGACATCGGACGCACGGGCTCTACTGGGAGTCCGAAACTGGAGAGTTGCTGCAGCTGATCGTATCGACTGGCGAAAGCTTTTGGAGGAGGCCCATTCTCGGTGACAGGATGTGTAGCGCCATATATGTATGTATGTATTTTATATATATATATATATATTAGTTAAAATAATAGGAAATACAAATAATATAAAAAAATAAGAGAATAATAAAGGCACAAATAAACACTCCAGAGATTGGCTTAATACTGACCTTTAATTACCTCTCCCAGGGCTTTATAGATTCTTTTCTGATTTATTTAGAAGCTTTATTCAAGCTCCCTACTAACACTCCCATCCCAGTTCGCAAAGTGAACTCAGAGTTATAAGTAAATATTATATAAGAGATGACTAAGATTACAAAGCAAAGAATTCTTTACACATTTATTGAAAAGATAAGAAGGAAGTTTCAAAATTTACAACTTAAATTATAACTTTACCCATATATAGAATAACATAGCCTAGAACAATAATCAAAAAGATTACATTTGTAGCACTTACAGCTACAAAGAAGAAATAGAAAAGAAAAAATAATGAAGCAAAGATCATCATTGGACAATCTGTAGAACACCAGTATCCAGCAGTATCTGGGTCAACAGGGATGTGGAAGTGGCGTATATGTGTGTGCTTTACTCATTGAGTACCTGTAAGCTCTTAAATTGTTTCTATGTTGTGCTCTTATAATGCTATCACTCTAAAAGACTCTGTATAACGCTTATCCCCCTTTTGCTGACTCAACGGTGGTTTTTGGTGTACCATCATACCTAGCTTAATTTTGTGCGATTCACCAGGTACCGTTAAACAGATGGGATTTGCTCCTAAGTTATTTTCTTGAAGGAGTTTGGTGGGTCCTTCTGAGACATATCTCAGTTGCTTATGCTTATGTAAAACCGCGACCTGTGGGTGTATGTATGCCATGGTGATAATATCACCCTGTTTCATAGTAAGGGATGTCTGAACACTACTTCTACCAGTGTGAATCTCTTGGCTCATTGGATAGTATTAATATATGATGATACCTCCTGAGGCATTGTTGGTTGCTCTCCCAATCCCCTATGTAGTTGAAATAGGGGTAGGTGCTCCCCTAGAGTATCATGGAGCTGTTCAATGGCACCTTGTTCTGGTGTATTCCTGAGAGAATTGAAGTGCCATTGCATACCAAGATCTGAGCATTACATAGTGGTTTGAGCGTTCTTAAATTCCCTTCTGTCATCTGATATATTATTGTGGGGTGCCCTGTAGCAGAATATCCAAGTAAACATTTCTTTCCAGACAGCATCTGCTGTTCTGTTAGGTAAGGAACCTCCTCCTCTAGCAATATTTCTCCCACCTCTTCTCACATTTCTGTATCATCTTCATTCAATAGTGATAATTTCTATTTTTCCTACATCTCACCTACGAATCTTATTTCCTCCATTATGAAATCCCATTCCAGCTCCATTGGATTTGATGGAATTCCCGTCAAATTGTTTACATTGTGCCTCTCTGAAATCCTTCCAGTCCTTCTATTCATTGATAACTTTTCCCTTAAAAATTCTGTTTTTTTCCTATATCTTGGAAAAAAGCCTTAGTCCGTCCTATTAAAAAAATTCCCAACCACACCTCTCTTAAAGATTACTGCCCAATTTCCATCCTCTCTAACCTGTCAAAACCTTAAGAAAGAATAGTCCAATTCCAAATATCCAATTTCCTCGAAGAGTTCAAACTTCTTGATCCTCTCCAATCATGCTTCTTTACTCAATCCCCTCTAGTTATAATCACAATTGGCATATATACTGCAATGGACAAAAAAAAGCTAAATGTACTAGTACTCCTGGGCTTCTCCAAAGCATTCAATTCCTTAGACCATTCTATCCTCTTTACTAAAGTGTAATCTCTATCCTTCTCCGTTAGTGCTATCCTTTGGTTCCAATTTTTCCTTTCCCATCGGACTCAAGCCTTTAATATTCCAAATCAACCCTTATCTTCCTTTCTCACTCTAGAGTAATCCAAGGTTCTAGCATTTCCCCTCTCCTTTTCAATTGCTATATCAATGATCTTCCTAGTTCAATCCTCCATTGCTCACACCATCTATATGCTGATCACTCCCAAATTTATTTATCCTTTCCGCCCGCTGACTTGTTAGCAGCATTGGCTAATATTCAGACAGACTTAGATAGGATCAGTGCCTGGGCAAGCTTGAATAAATTAAGTTAAATACAATGAAAACACAGGCAATTCTTATAGGTTCTAATTCCCTCCTTAGATTCATTACCACCCTTCTTTCTTTAATTATTGATGACCAACCTATCTCCTTCACATCCTCTGTAAAAAACTTCGGAATTCTCATTGACGAAAACCTTTCCTGGAAACCTCATACAGCTCATATCTCCTGAAAGACTATTGGTACTCTTAAACTATTCCATCGTTCCCGTCATCATATCATCTTCCACAACCTATCTGCAAGCTCCTCCTTCCCTCATTGATTTTCCCCCACTTTGACTACGACTGTATGGTAGTATACTGTGGTACGACTGTGTAGTGGCCTCTAGATTGTATTAGAGGATAAACTGAAGAGAATCTTTAACTGTTTATTAAAATTTGTTTCAGTACTTCAAGATGGTCCCATGTGTCCCACCTGTATAATGAATTAAAGTGACTTTTCCCCTCCTTCCACTGCCGATACTTCCTTCAAAGTTTCCTGTACCAAATGATCAACTCCCAGCACCCTTCCTATATCTACCATCTTTTTCACTCCAAATCCTCAGTTCATTCGCAGAAAACAAGATCACATGTCTCTGACCTCTATATTCACTCCCATAGAACTAAATCCTACCAACATTCCTTCATAGCCCACTCTGTTACCTTCTAGAATTCCTTACCATCTAACATCCGTCATGCTTCTTCCCTGTCATCATTCAAATACCTCCTTATATCCCAAATAGGTGATCTGCAAACATAAAATTTCTAGTCATGAATTGAATTTTAATAGAAGTGAATAATAGTGCCTACTGTTTAAGTGTTAACAGAAAAAATCAGTGCCTCTTCATTACTGACTTTTGTTATTTTTTCATTTAGCCAGGTTTTGTTTTTGCTTTCTGTACATATACAATATATATATTTTTTTGTTATGTTTACTCAAATTACAACTATAACTATTCTTGAGAAGATTCTATTTTATTTTTTTACGATTCACAGATTATTTTTTAAATTACTGTATATATTAGAATTTTTTTAAGCTAGGCTATTATTTATGTTTTAACATCTACAATATTTTTTTGTTTTCATTTCTCACATTACAACTATAACTATTTTTGAAAGGTTTTTATTTTTTTAGTTTCTTACACATTATTTATTTAATTATTGTATATATTGTTAGAATTTTTATTAAGTTTGCCTATTTTTTACGCTTTCAACATCAAAAATTTTTTTTTTTCTAAAACACTGATGACTTTTTAAAATATTTGAAGTGGTTTTGTATAAAATGCACTTAATCAGCAGAAAAGTGGTACTGGCGTACGTGCCTACAGGCCTCAGCCACATCATTCAGTACTCATAAATGGCATAGTTATAGTGCTATAATAACGTTTTTGGTACATTGGCAATCTCCATATATTGATTATATTGATTTTATCCGTATATTGATTTTATTAACAAACAAATATTGATGCAATAATTAAATTGTCCAAAAAAATTTAACTATTTTTTTTTTAGTTTTACTTCCTTTATTCTATACAGAGGTTGTTTAAGAATTCTTCTATTGTAAAAATGATATAATTATAATAATAAAACTTAATTCAAAAATATTTCGCTGTATATCTTGAAGTTTTTATTTAACGTTTGCAATTTAACACTATGTTTTCTGTATTATATTAATTCTTAGAGGTAAGTTAAACTGTATATATATTTCTGGAAATGAATCATATTAATACCTGTTTTATAAATTAAAATATATCCTTAATATGAATTACATATAATGAATAGTTGCTGGGTTGTTTCAGAAAACATATATCACTAATCACTAAGTTTTTCTTTGATATGCTTTTTTTTTTTTTTTTAAATAAAAAAAAGATTTGCTTAAATTATTTATGTTTATGCACATTCTACTTTTATTATACTTAGGTCTTTCAGCAGAAACTGCTCTCTGGCCTTACATCTGAAAAGCCATGATCCATTAGAAGATGCCAGTAAGAGATTTCAATGTCAGCTGTGTCCAAGGAGTTACTCACAGAAATCTGTCCTAAAGAAACATCTGGCAGTAAGATTGAATATATTTTCTAACTTTTTTTTCAGATAACACCAACTTATTAGTATGATAATTTATAGTATTGTTTTTTTATTTTTTTTATTTTATTATTATTTCCATTCTTTATTCTCGCTTTGCAGGGTAAGTTTCTGAGGTGGGAGACCAGAAGTCCAGCCACTTCAGATTAATATCAATTACTTTTTAGATATTTAAAAACTTTCGAACAATACGTGCTGTATCCAAGAAAACTGAGTGTTGAGCCTCTTTCAGCACTTCAAGAGGTAATTTTAATCCCATCGTGCCTGCCACTGTTGTCTTTGGTATCAATCCATTGGAGGATATTATAATTGGAGTGGTGGTGACGTTCCCCAAATGATACAGTTCAGTTCGATTGCCAGTTCCTGGTATTTTCTCAGTTTTTCTCCAACAGTGGAGCTTATATTATTATCATTGGGGATCCCGACATCAATAAGCTCTGCTCTTTTCTCTCTCAGGTCTATCAGAAGGATGTCTGGTTTATTGTGACGCACAGTATGGTCAGTTATAATCGATTCATCCCAGTAGAGCTTGAGACTACCTTTTTGGAGGGGTTTATTTGGGTGGTACTTATAATATGGAGTTTTGTCATCTAACAAGTTGAACTTCACCGCCATAGCCTGATGAAAAATTCTAGCCACATTGTTATGCCTCTGGAGATACTCGGTGCCAGCCAACACTCCACACCCACCTGTGACATGTTGGATTGATTCCAGCGTCGCTGAGCATAATCGACATTATTCCGTAGTTGTTGCGTCTTTAAGAACATGCCTTCTATATGATCTAGTAGCAATAACTTGGTCTTGGATGGCGAGCAGAAATCCTTCTGTCTCGGAGAATATCTTTCCAGCTTTCAGCCATTCAATGGATATGTCCTTGTCAATCGAGCTATCATTTAATTTGCTGTAGAATCTTCCATGCAGAGATTTATTTTTCCATTCTGTCAAGCGTTCATTTTCTGACACGATTGTAGAGACCTCACGATTGCTCAGGTTAAGTGCGGTTAGACCATAATCCAATCTTGAGATTTATTATTATTATTATATTATTTGTTTATTTTTTGAAAAATGTAAAAAGTGATTTCTGAAATTATTTTACACAATTATGAAAGGTAAATCTTTTTTCTTTCTTTTTTTATTAAAATCCTTAACCACAACTGTCAAATTATTGAATCGACAATCAGTGAACTTGATTTTTTAAAAATAACTCAGTTCAGTGACATGAGGGAAAGCAGTACTTGCAGCACTTCCTCCCAGCATGATATCAGCATCAATTTTAAATGAGGAGGTCCTTCATCCAGCTGTTCTTTAGCCTTCTACTAATGTTACCTGGCTTGAGTGGTGTGGCTTTATTACTTATGCGTGAGTAAAGGTGTCCTTGTAAATTAAATTATCATGGAATTGTTTGTAGTGGGTTAGGGTTGTATAATGTTTGTGAGGCATATTTTGGATTTTTATTTCTTGTTAAGGTTGCTGTATCATCTGGATATGTCTCTGTTAGAACCCCAAGGAATGTTGTGTTTGTATTTAGTGTTGAGTAGTGGAGCGAACACTGAACCATGGTGTACCCATGCTGAGATAGACTGTAGAGAAAGAAGGCGGCTTTAACCCTTGTCATATGGAGGAAAACTTGTTGGAAAAGGAGGATTGTAGAATAAGATAATAAGTAGGTAGGAGAAATATCTTGAGTATCAAGATAAGTCCCTGGTTCCAAACTCTGCCAATCACTTGAGCAACAAGTAGAAACATGCCAGCTGAATATCATTTCTACTCTTGTCCCTTGGATATATAGTCCCTCACTCTGTGTACTTGATAAATAGTTGGTTGCTCTGTCTTAAACCCAAATTATAGGTTTGGTAATTCGATGGTGTTTGTTAATATGTATATGATTCTTTTGTACAAAGATTTTTAAACGTACCAGAAGTAAGGTGACTGGTCGGTATGATGAGAATGAGTTTTTGGCTTTGAGGAGACAGAATTTCTCAACAAATGCATTGCAAAATTTGGGATGATTCTTTGATATGCTCCAATTTAATTAACATTGACTTAAAGCTTATTAAACTAGAAAGCTTTCCTTTTTTTTTTTTTTTTTATTATTTATTTATTTATTTTTTTTTTTTTTATATACATTATAACATATCATACTGATAAGTTACATGTTTATGGTTACACATGACATAATAGTGGTTTGAATACTACTTATAAAATTGAAATTTATTTTTTACAGTAGGAAAAATCTCATAAAAAACCTACATAAGATATAAATGAAAAAAATAGGTTACAATCATTAAAAGTACAAGAAAAACTAAATATAATTTATGTGCAAAAGGAAACTATATATATTTACACACACACACATACACATACATACTCACACAACACACACACACACACACACACACACACACACACACACACACATATATATATATATATATATATATATATATAGATATATAGATATACAGATATACACTGACAGGCAAAAAATTCCACCCACTTGTTACCCATTAAGGAACCACGTTGGAAAGGTTGGCTCTGGGAAACATTACAGGCTGCATATCTTTCGTTTCTTCTTCTCCACACCCTTACACGCCCGTCTGGAGATCGAAGAGCGAATCTTGACTCATCTGTAAAAAGTACAGCACTCCATTCGTCCAAAAGCTTCAGTTCTCGGGCAAAAGCCAGCCGTGTTACTCTATGAGTTCTGGTCAACTCTAGTCCTCTTACTGGACGAAAAGCCATTAATCCATACTCATTTAATCTTCTCTGAGCGGTACGTTCAGAAATTTGCACACCTCGAACTTCTTCGAGCTGATGAATCGCTTGAACTACGGTAAGGTGCCGGTTTCGTAAAATTCTTAAAGTCAAAAACCGGTCATCCCGTGGTTCTGTTACCCTAGGCCGTCCAGAACCGGGCCTTCTATTGTAAAAACCAGTTCCCCGACGCCTGACGGCGTCTCATAAGTTTCATATGGAACTCCGATGGCATTAGCTGCATATCTAATGGAACGTCCATCATCAATAAGTGCCACACCACGCGCAACATCCTTAGCACTAAGAGGCATTTTTAAACTTAATATTGAAAAAATTAAAAGCAGGAGACTAAGAAATGTGCTGCAAGAAACGGCACTGAACTAATGATACTGAATAAACATTTTGATTCCATAGAAAGTAAACATTGGAATCTAGAATCATTTCATTGAATTAAGGATTAAGGGTTATTATTGTCCTCTATATTAACATTCCTAATTGAAAACAAACAAAAAGATTACCTATTTATTCATTAAAAACAATAGACCAATACAAAGCAGAAATATTTTTAGATGAAAACATGAAAAAATCAAGTGGGTGGAATTTGTTGCTTGTCAGTTTATATACATACACACACACACACACACACACACACACACACACACACACACACACACACACACACACACACATATATACACACACACACACATACACATACACATCATATAAATACAATTTGTTGATTGGGGTGATTGAGTTTATTGTTACTTGTTTGGTGATAGATAAGAAACCGTTAAATTTTCACAAATAAACTGATTGGATTTAGACGTTTAGTAGTATGTGTTTAGTCCGTCTGTGTGTATACCGTTTTAAAGATGTTTTGTCATAGTTTCCTATTGTTCGGATCATAGGGTTTTCAGTGGTTGGTGTTAGCTCAAAAAATCTCTGTGTTTGAAAATAAATATATTTTTTTATTGTGGGAAGCTGTAATTCTGCTAGCATAATAGATACTTTGGTATAACATGGATAATTGTTTATGATTCTCATACACATATTTTCAATTACTTCGAGTTTTTTGTAATTAGTCTCGCATATGTAACTCCATACTGGGGCAGAATAAGTGATTAAAGGGCTGATTACTGTTTTATATAAAATTAGTTTATTTTTTGTATTCAGTTGTGAATATTTATAGAAAGCTTTCCTGATATTGGACAATCTGCAGTCTAGTAGGAAGTTGCCAAAAAAAATACGAATAATCAATGTATGAAGATGGTTGGGGGTGTGGTCAATAGACGCATATTATATATTATAACATACGTCCATTGGCCACATCCTCGACCAACTTCTCAAATTAGAATTATGGTCAACTATTTCCATACCATTATAAAGAGTTAATTTTTTTTTTTTTTATTCAAAAACAACTTTGTGCAGTTTAGTCCCCTTTAAATGATATTGATAGAAACATAAAGTTTATTTTTAAGTAAATTTTGTTGATGTTGAATATGGGAATTATTATTATTTTTCCCAGCACTACAACACGGTTAAAGGTCTTGGCCTCCTCTTCCTGTGAGCATCTCCCGCCACACCATCCGACCATCTCAGCCTTGGTCTCCCTCTTCTCTTTGTTCCATAGATTGGCTATGCAAGCAATATTTTAGCCATTTCTCCATCCGCCATCCTGGCAATCTTAAACGCCTCAACTTCATTGCTTTCACGTCCGCTTCTCCGAAAGCATTGTACAGCTGCTGGTTTGTGCGCCGCTTCCACTCCTCTCCAATTTTAACTCTCCCAAAAACATGGCAGAGAACTTTTCTTTCAAAAATAAGGAGTTCCTTTTTAGTGGCCTTCGAAGTTGTCCGGCACTCCGGTCCATAAAGACACACCAATATCTTGTAGAGGTGGAGCTTGGTCTGTAATACTGTTATACTCATGGCCTCTTTCAAGAATGGTTTGCACACAGAACATCTGGTCAGAGGTGGATCTTCTTTTCCTAAATCCACTCTGGTATGGACTGAGCTCACGTTCAGCATATGCAAAAAGACGCCCAAACATGGTATTAGGTAGTATCTTATAGGCGCAAGACAGCAGTGAGATACCTAGATAATTGCTGCACAGCAAGCTATCATCCGTTTTATGTATAGGACAGATAATTGACCTATTCCAGTCAGAGGAGGAGATCCTGTAGAGCTTTGGTAAGCTCGTTTCGATCACATTTTAAAAGTGCAGCAAGGAGTGCGTCAGCACCAGGGACCTTATTATTTTTGAGTTTGCTGATGGCATCTGCAACCTCATCTTTATCAGGTGGTTCAAGATCCATCTCTTGTTCTCCTGTCTGTATTCTGTTGATTTCTTCTTCTTGGTTTATTACTTCATCACAGATGTCTTCTTCACTTGAGTTGAGAAGATTATTGAAGTGATTCCTCCATTCGTCAAGAACATCCCACATGTTGGTCATCAGGTTACCTTCTTTATCCCTACAGGATTTTAATTTATTATATTGCTTTCTTTCCTTGTTGACCATTCTGAAGAAATCTCTTTCTTTGTTACAATGTAGCAGTTCTATATTTTCTGTCGTTTCTTTTTGAGATGTAAGCGTTTCTCTTCTTTCCTTCTCTGTCGGTATTCATCAAAAGACCTCCTTGTGGTTGTCCTAATCATTGCTTCATATGCAACGTTCTTCATGTTCGTGTCTGCTCTTCATTCCTCATCAAACCAGGGTGGTCTTTGTTCCTTCTCGTATGATCTTCAGCCGCTTCCATTATCACTTTACAAAAGTCCGAACTTTTCAATGTCCTGGCCAACATAATTATATTGAGTCTGTACATCCTCTTTTTTTCTAAGGTTAAAACTTTTGGTTTTCTTGGCAGCTTTTAAATTCCTCACCAAGCAGATCCTCCGTGTGCTCCTTAAAAGGAAAAATTGAAGACTCCTTCGCAGTTTGTTCAGGCCTCAGGCAAGGTTACCATATATTTTGTTTCGGACTCATTAACTTCCAGCCCAGTCTCTATACCTTCCCAAAATAGGACTCAAAATTTCTATACCTTCAGTGTAGGCCAACAGTTGGATATGGTTGTTAAATATATTTCCTTGTTGCTCCTGTAAACCAGCGTCTCTTACAACCTTCTCATGTACTGGCGGAAACAAAATACTAGCCAGCACATTCCCTTTGTGGGAGTTCTTTACCTAAGATTATAGCAGGGAGTTCATTTGTACCAGGGGCCTTATTATTTTTGAATTTGCTGATGGTATCTGCCATCTCATCTTCATTAGGTAGTTCATCTGTTTTTTGTTCCTACACCTGTATTCTGTTAATTTCTTACTTCCTCACATGTGTCTTCTTCCCTTGAGTTGAGGAGATTATTGAAATAATTTATCTATTTGCCTAGAACATCAGATTTGTTGGTCACCAAGTTACCCTCTTTATCCTTATAGAATTTTAATTTGTTAATTTTTTTTTTTTGTTTTTTTACCAATCTGAAGGAATTTCTACTTCCTTTACAGTGTAGCCATTCCATATTTTCTAGCTCCTCCCTCTCCTTCTGTTGTTTCGTTTTGTGATATAACCGTTTCTCTTCTTTCCTTCTCTGTCGGTATTCATCAATAGACTTCCTTTGGTTATCCTAATCATTGCTTCATACGAAACGTTATTCATGGCTGCTCTAAATTCCTCTTTGAACCGGGGTGACCTTGGTTTCTTCTCTAGTGTCTAGTACTTCTTCGGCTGCTTCTATTATTGCTCTAAAACAGTGCGACCAGAACCTTTCAATGTCCTGGCTAGCATCGTAGCTTCCTAAATGTAATTTAGTGTCTTAATACTTTTGCTTAGTTATGCTGAGTTTGTGCATTCTTTAACTTTCTTGAGTTGAAACTTGTGTGTTTCTTTTCAGCTTTCGAATTCCTTACTGAGCTGATCCTCGCTGTCACATGCGCTATGCTTAGTAAGTGGTCTGAATCTACATTAGCTTTTCTGAATGTTTTCACATTTTGTAGATTGCTTTTATGGCATGTTTATATCAGAATATGGTCAATCTGGCTATCTACTAACCGGTCGGATGACTTCTGTTTGTCTTTGTGGATATTCTTGTGTGGATACAGAGTACTCCCTATAACTAGGTTCCTGGACTCTACAAAATTATTGAACCTTTGTCTTTCCTTTTTTTTTTCTTTATGTTTGTTTAATATTAATGAACTATGAATTTTATACTTACTTACTTAGTCTATCCTCATCTACCGCTAAGCATTGTAAGACTATTGTGTATAGAGCCTGATCCATATGAATTTTATAAACAATGTATTGGTAAAAATTATTTTTTTCAGGTACATACTGGTGAACGAGAGCGTTGCGCTATTTGTGGTGCTGGTTTTAGTCAACGATCTTCTTTGGTGCGACATGCAAAGCGCATTCATGGAGGCTTATTAAATAGCCAGCAGGGTACTCAGCAACCTGCTACAGTTCATCTACAACCAGTAGCCCAACATGCATCAATCAGCACCCAAACATCTAATAGTTGTGTTTTATTGTTGCCTAATAATGGGCAACTATTAGTCAACAACGTCCATCCCCCTCTTTCGTTGAAACCTTCACTTCCATCATCAACTACTTTTAATGTTGTTCAACCTAGTTCTTCTGTTTTACAGGAGGATCAAGCTAAGGTTAATAATAATGTACACCATGTTGGGGTTCCATGATATATACTCTTATTCCCTTCTTCCATTTCCAAAGGCCCTATTGCTCCTAAGTATTCATACACTCCTCTGACACTCAATCGCACATCGCGACCTTAAATATTCTTGTTAGGTCACTGCACATTTCAATGTATAGTATAGACTGTAATATTATTTTATTAAATGAGGTGACGGTTTGGGTGGGTGGTTAAGATTATTCCATATATTTCATGTGTATCTCCAAAAATAAGGCATAATCAGAGATACTGGAATTAAAGGAGTCAATCGTTGCAGCATAGTTATAAAGATTAATTAAATATTTTAAAAATAAATTAATTAATAAGAGAGAAGAAAATCAATCGCACTGATTTCCAAATATAAAAACGTTTTAAGTGTTTTATTTTATTCTTAATGTTGATGCATTTACATTTGCATAAATAATTCTTGAGTCATATGAATGTAATGATTCATAAAAATGTAACTGAATTCATTTTGCATACTCTTTATTTATTTTTATATTCTAATTTCGCACCAATGTTTATATGGGAAAGCTTCTCATACAAACTAGCTTATTTATCTTATTTTACTCTAGAATGATTTCAGTGTCCAAATTTAACTGGGTTTTGTTTATTTATGTTCTTATATTTATTTTTTTTTATTATTATTAACCCAAGCTATAATGATAAATTTATCCATATATGTCATGTGTATCTCCAAAAATAAGGCATAATCAGAGATACTGGAATTAAAGGAGTCAATCGTTGCAGCATAGTTATAAAGATTAATTAAATATTTTAAAAATAAATTAATTAATAAGAGAGAAGAAAATCAATCGCACTGATTTCCAAATATAAAAACGTTTTAAGTGTTTTATTTTATTCTTAATGTTGATGCATTTACATTTGCATAAATAATTCTTGAGTCATATGAATGTAATGATTCATAAAAATGTAACTGAATTCATTTTGCATACTCTTTATTTATTTTTATATTCTAATTTCGCACCAATGTTTATATGGGAAAGCTTCTCATACAAACTAGCTTATTTATCTTATTTTACTCTAGAATGATTTCAGTGTCCAAATTTAACTGGGTTTTGTTTATTTATGTTCTTATATTTATTTTTTTTATTATTATTAACCCAAGCTATAATGATAAATTTATCCATATATGTCATGTGTATCTCCAAAAATAAGGCATAATCAGAGATACTGGAATTAAAGGAGTCAATCGTTGCAGCATAGTTATAAAGATTAATTAAATATTTTAAAAATAAATTAATTAATAAGAGAGAAGAAAATCAATCGCACTGATTTCCAAATATAAAAACGTTTTAAGTGTTTTATTTTATTCTTAATGTTGATGCATTTACATTTGCATAAATAATTCTTGAGTCATATGAATGTAATGATTCATAAAAATGTAACTGAATTCATTTTGCATACTCTTTATTTATTTTTATATTCTAATTTCGCAACAATGTTTATATGGGAAAGCTTCTCATACAAACTAGCTTATTTATCTTATTTTACTCTAGAATGATTTCAGTGTCCAAATTTAACTGGGTTTTGTTTATTTATGTTCTTATATTTATTTTTTTTATTATTATTAACCCAAGCTATAATGATAAATTTATCCATATATGTCATGTGTATCTCCAAAAATAAGGCATAATCAGAGATACTGGAATTAAAGGAGTCAATCGTTGCAGCATAGTTATAAAGATTAATTAAATATTTTAAAAATAAATTAATTAATAAGAGAGAAGAAAATCAATCGCACTGATTTCCAAATATAAAAACGTTTTAAGTGTTTTATTTTATTCTTAATGTTGATGCATTTACATTTGCATAAATAATTCTTGAGTCATATGAATGTAATGATTCATAAAAATGTAACTGAATTCATTTTGCATACTCTTTATTTATTTTTATATTCTAATTTCGCAACAATGTTTATATGGGAAAGCTTCTCATACAAACTAGCTTATTTATCTTAGTTTACTCTAGAATGATTTCAGTGTCCAAATTTAACTGGGTTTTGTTTATTTATGTTCTTATATTTATTTTTTTTATTATTATTAACCCAAGCTATAATGATAATTTTTTTATCTCTTATTGCATGTCAATTGTTTGTTTTTCCTTTTGTGGTAAAATACCCAATGACTTCTTATTTTTCCTAATTTTGACTGTGTTTTTGTGGACTTATACAGAATGAATTAACTCACAATGAAAATTGTATGTTAAATTCTTAGCATTCACAAAGAATAAAATCTGAAACTCCTGTACCATCGGTTGTTTTAATTCTAAATAATGATGCATCCTAAAATTACTCTTTACTAAATAGTAGAATTATTAATAGTAAACATCCAGCTAAAAATTATTTTTTTAAACAGGCTTAATCAATCATCTAAACATTCATTTCACCTAAAATCAGCTTTGATTTGTTCTATTATTACAGTTAGGTGTAAGATAAATTTATTTTGTGATACTTTTATTTTTGTATGTTCCTCAGTTGGTAATATTCAATACCTGTCCAAAAATGTTTTCACTTAACAAAACAAAGCTTGCAATCACTAGCTTGAATTCGCTATACAGGTCCAATTAGAGAGGGAAGAGGGCTGCAGGCTTAGTCTAAAATATTGTATTTTTTAGATAACATAATATCATTACATAATATTTTGGTTGCATATGTTGTAAAATGTGAGGTTGGGTTTTAGTGGTAAATTTAATATTTGATAGAGCCCGGGAAAAGTCTCCCTGGTGCCCTTGGTTTCCCTGCATGGCCATGTTGCTATAATCGAAGAAGTTTCAAATCTATTTTTCAAAATATATTGTTATATTTTCCTGTATTTTACTAGAGGTTTTATGCAAAGATTTTTAATTGTAAAAAAAAAAGTAAATATTATTTGTTATAACTACAGAAAAAATGTTGAATTATAAAATTCAACCATGTTTTTAAATGATAATTTCATCTAAAACTTTTATTGATTTTTTAATTATTGTAGTAATACAATGATGTTATAGAATCTCATTATTGGTGTTACATTAGGATTTTGATTTTTGTAGACTTATAAAAGAACTAGCAAGTGTAAATGATATATTCATGAGTTCCTAGCTTTCTCTCTTATAATATATTAATGTCATTCTTGTTCAATGTTATATTTTTATTGTCTATGGTAGTTTAATGTTAAATAAATGTAATTTTTTAAAAATGGGAAAGTGCCCAATCGGTTCAAAAGTATTGTAAAATATTTTCATTTGATAAATTAATCTAGCAGGTATGATAAAATTAGAAATTATTAGCCATAGTCAATACCCCGTTCAGAACATGTTAAAAGAATATTTTGATATGGACCTAATAAAATGTGATGTGAATAAGTGTTCTTTTAAACATGTATGCATTCTGACATTTAAGGTTTAGAATCAATTTTAATTATGTTTTTATCCTTGTAACTAGTTATTCTTCTAAATATTTAATATTTAGTGGAATTCTGTTCTATCTTGTTTCAATGTTCGTTAAATCATAATCCTATAAATTCTGTAATTAAGATTAAGAGATCAGTTGGTTTTAGACAATATATTTTTTAATTGTTGTAAACAAAAATATCCAGATACTTGTACTCTTTTAAAGAGAACGATTCTGGTGGAAATTTGTCTTTAAAAAAAAAGAATATGAGAACATAATCAAAATTTTTTAATAAATAACATTTTAAAATGTTTCTGCATATGGTCTATAAATAGTGTTATATGTTGAAATATTAGATTATTTATACTTTGTAACAAGAGGTGCTAAAAATGTTAAAAGTCAGAAATTGGCTTAAATTAGATTTATTTGAATATAATCTATAATCATGGTTGTTCTCAATTTCATAGATAAGGTATCATAAAGTAAGGATATATTTTATATGCTAGTATTGTCATTGATTTAAAATTTGTCAAATGCTATATCTCATGTACTTATGCATGTTTCAAGGAAAAGTACTCATGTTTGTCCATCTTTTTATCAAAGTGCCTCTATTTCTTTGAATAAATTATTAGTCTAGTGGTTATTATTTTTAAGGTATATATTGCCAGTTAAGGAATTTTTTCCGGGACCAGGGGCTTGTCAAGTGCCTTGAATTTTGTATTACTCTTATTAAATATAGCTAACTGTTTATTGATAATTGTTCTATATGTTACACACTATATGTTAGTACTAAGTATTTTTATTTTATATAAATAGGATGGTTCAGCAATGAAAGATGATAAATCCTGTTGGTAAAACACTCTAGTCCTCAACTTCAAGTGGTACTATTTTTTTTATAACTGTTTTTGTCATTTATGGTTTATCTATCAATATAATAATCCACTAATGAAACTGGAATTGGTAGCATTAAAAAAAATTAATTGGACTGTTATCATAAGTTGGTAGGTATGTGAAAATCTAAATACAATTTCAGATATTTCTAATTAAATGAATGTCTTTCTCTTTTGTTTTAGCTTATGAATTGTTATGCATTAAACGTCAGATAGTTTCTTCATGAAAATTTATGAGTTACCTAAATTCTCCCCATTGAAATTCCAATTTCTATACTTGCACAAAAAATCATTTAATGTCCGATTGCTATAGATAATTACTTTTTTTCAAATTATGCTTCATCCTATTATTTTCAGAAGAAAACAATATATAAAATGTTGGAAATGTAAATAATGTATCTCAATGTTTTTATAAGAAATAATAACAGAAAGAAGCTAAGTTTTATTGCAATCATCGCCTTAATTGATTCTTCTTCAGAATATCCTACAATTATTGTCTGAATTAAAATAAGAAAAGATTAAAATTTTATGACTACTAATTCCTTAAACTTTTGTTACAATTCAATATTTCAGAATTGAAATTATTTAAGTAAAGAATTAATCACAAGTCATAGACTATGAAATTTTCTATTTGAACTGGTGGTTTTTTAAATATTTAATAAGTTGAGAATTGTTAATTAAAAAAAACAAATAATCAATTTCTGTCCTTTTTTCGTAAAAATATGTGTTATTGGGTAGGTTTTAAGGTTTATTTTGAAGTATGACACATGAATAGATTTTATACATAAAAATAATCTAAAGTTCAATATAACCAAAAATATTTATTTCCATGTCATTAAATATTATCTGAAAAATATTCTATAGTTTAAAGGGTTTAATTATTTCATTGTTTGGATAGAATTTTGTCAATAAATAGGGTTAATAGAATGTAATTAATGTTGTAATCCTAGGTGTACACTACTTCTCTTAGTCATTGATGTTTGTTGTACCACTCATTATTATGAAACAATTTTCAAATAATTTATTTAATGTATTCTTTATACACATTATTAATTTAAAATAAGTATATATATATATATATATATATATATATATATATATATATATATATACTCATACATACATATACGTATACACACATACCTAAAACGTATTATAAGCACAAAATATTGACTTGAATACGTTTAATTCTGAATATATATACATGTAAATTTGAAAAAAAAAAATTAAA